CCTACTCAAATAATAAATTATTCTGAAATTCGGTTTCTCTTTCACCGCGAGTGTTTCAGGAAAGGGACCTCACCAAAGTTCTCCTAACCCTTTTAAGCACGGTGAGATAAGGGGGCTCTCGTGACCTAGAGGTTACGGTGTTGGCCTCTCATTCAAAGGTCGCGGGTTCGAATCTGGGTAGCGACCGAAATTAATTTTTTCTCTAAAATTGTCTCTTTTCACCTCCTTTCCTGCTATCTAGCACTGTTCTGTCTTCTGCTTTCGTCTCCTCTTTCTGCCCTCACCCCCACCTCCTTTGCCCCCTCCTCTGGGCTCCTCGCTCTTTCTGCAGCCTTTCTATTGCTACTTTTTGTCTCCTTTTTACTTCTGTCTTTCAGCCACACCCCTGATCTTCTAGTAAGAAAGATCTACACCTAGCCTTCTTGGACAAGGGCGAAAAATCATGGAGGGACTGTGTGCAAGTTGCACACGTTAAAGATCCCTTGGTGGTCTAAAATCGATAAGAGTAGGCTTCGGCCGCCACTCGGGCAAAATTCAAAATTTTCTACCAACTGAAAATATTAGGTGTGTCCCGCGCCCTCATATGACCTTATGCAGTTGCGAGCGCCGTAAAACACTTGCCAACTTACCCTCCCCCCAAAAAACAACAACAAAAAACAAACAAAACAAAAAACAAACAAACCAAAAAGACACACAAAAAAACCGTGAGATAGTGGCGTCAGTGGCCTAGTGGTTAGGCTATCGGTCCCGTAACCGCGAGATTGCAGGTTAGGGGGTTCGAGCGCCAGCTTGGTCCGACGCGTCCTTTGGAATGACACTTTACACGAATTTCCCGTTTGCCTTGGTCCTTTCGGAGATGGACGTTCAACTCGGAAGTCCCGCCTCTTAAATAACCTAATTGTGTTGATAGGAGCGTTAAACCTATACCATTTCACCATTTTCAGGGTGAGATAATCATCTCATATGACTGTCGTGGTTTTACCGACCTTGTCCTGACACTAGAAACAACCAATCACGCCCCTATAGATGAATGCATTTAAAAACTTGCGAAGGTTTGTGTTTTGTCCAATTTGGATTAAATTTGTTAAAAATTGACATTTTTTTGAAAGCATTGACTGATTTTCTTCATATTGGTACATTTGATGTCCCCTTGGTTGAATTTCATGTGGTGGAACTTTTATTGAAAATGGTGCAAAGATGACCAAGTTATTGCACCTTAAGAGGTCCTCTATTTTAGAGACTGTAATATATATATACGTATATATATATATATATATATATATATATATATATATATATATATATATATATATATATATATATATATATATATATACAATGTACATACGAACATACTCATACTCATACACGTATATACATACACACACAGATTCACATACACACACAGATACACGCACACATTACATACACAACCAAAAAATGTTTAAATGGTATAGATTTAACCCCCCTATCAACACTATTACGTTATTTGATTGGCGACACTTCAGAGTTTGACGCCCGTCTCCGAAAGGACAGAGCTAAATGGGAATTTTGTGTAAAGTGCCTTTCCCAAGAACACAACGTCGGACCGAGCTGAGGCTCGAACCCCCGAACCCGCAAGCTCACAATTACGAACTCGGTAGCCTAACCACCAGACTACCGACGCCACTCTATATACATATTATATAGTTACATATACATACACATATACATATAAAAACACATATACATATCAAATACATTAATACATATTATTATATACATAATATTATATACATGTACATATACATATTATTATACATAACATATACATATATAATGTACAACACATATACATACATACATACATATATATATATATACATGGGTCCAAGAGGTTAAGGAGTTCGCCTCTCATTCAAAGGCAGCGTGGTGAAATCAGGCGCTCATCAAAATAACCAAAATGAAGGAACTGACATTTTTCCACAGGTTTGTGAATTTTTATCGAATTTTCGTTTTTTTGGTTCAACACTTTTCATGCCCATTAAATAATATATTTCAGTGTTGATTTTACCGAGAAACGTTGTATAAAGGGGCAAAAAACGTAAATTTTCAGCTTCCACGTACTCTCAAGCTAAGGAAATAACCCACCATTGGCGGCCATTTTCTCACTAACTTTACCTGTGAAACCAGGCGACCCCCACCTCCTTCTATTGCAAATATCTCGACTTCTATTCATGACAGATGAGTATCTTTTCCATAAAAAACAAGACAAATGAACAAGCTTTAAAATTATACCAATAACGCCATATGGCCAAAAATCGACGAGCGCCTGATTCCACCACGTCGTGACAATATACAGGGGGTTCTCGTGGCCTAGAGGTTAAGGTGTTCTCCTCTCATTCAAAGGTCCCGGGTTCGAATCCGGGTAGTAACGGAAACATTTCTTCTCTCAAATTTTCTCCTTTCACATCCTTCCCTGCTCTCTAACTCTAACATTGTTCTGTCGTCTGCTTTCGTCTCCACTTTCTACCCCCACCCCCTGAGTTCCTTTGCCCCCTCTTCTGGGCTCCTGACTCTTTCTGCAGCCTTTCTATTGCTTCACCTTGGCTCCTTCTTACTGCTGTCTTTCAGCCACACCCCTGATCTTATGGTAGGTAAGATCTACACCTAGCCTTTTCGGACAAGGGAGAAAAATCTCTGCGGTCCGGTGTGCAAGTTGCGCGCGTTAAAGATCCCTTGGTGACGCCACCAGGGAAAAAATTCAAAATTTCCTACCAACTGAAAATGTTTGGTGTGTACCGTGCGCTCATATGACAGTTGCGAGCGCCGTGAAACACTAACAAAAAAACCCAGCAACAACAAAAAAACAACCAAACATACATATATACCTGTACATATACCTAATCATAAACCCTATACATATACACATAAAACTGTTTTTAAAAAACCCAGACCGCCGAAGAACTCACTTTTATCGAGTAATCAAATTTCCCTCTCTATATCCCGTATAAAAATAGAAATCCGTCTAAGAACCCGTTCTGAACTGAGAGCAATCAACTTTTCTGAGCTGTTTTACCATATGTGATGCAGCGTGGTGGGATCAGGCTCTCGTAAAAATAATCAAAATGAAGAAACTTGCATTTTCCCGCAGGTTTGTGAACTTTTAATAAATTTGCTTTTGGGCTCTACACCTTTCATGTCCTTTAAAGAACTCATTTATGTGTGGATTTTTCTGAAAAACGTTGATTAAAGGCACAGAACATGTTAATTTTCAGTTATCATGGACTCTTAAGCTAAGGAAATAACTAACCTTTGGCGGCCATTTTCTCACTGTTACCTCTGAAAACAGGTGTCCCCCACCTCCTTCTATCACAAATATCTCGACTTGTATTCAAGATAAATGGATATTTTTTTCATCCAAATAAAGACAAGTGAACAAGCTTTAAGGTGATACCAATAACTCTACAAGCCGAAAAATTGACGAGAGCCTGATTCCACCACGCTGCCTCACATATAATTATTTTGCGCGGGTTGAGAAGAAACGGGAATGGCTTGGCGTAAACTTTGCTAGCGGACGAGGGAATCTATACATACCAGGTACACTAGCAGAGAGCATTTTTATTTTTAATGCACGCTTGATTGTCTTATGTAATCTGGCCCTTTAATAATGATTTTTATTCTTCATTTATGCATCGTTGTGACTGACCCCTTTTCGTGGTTCCAATACGTTATCAAATCATTATGACAATGTTGCGTTGTAAAAATTCTCTCATAATCCTCTGGTTTTCATTTGCTTCCAAACAAATCAGCCATGCAAACACACGTATTAAACACACGTATTAAACACACGTATTAAACACACGTATTATACACACGTATTAAACACACGTATTAAACACACGTATTAAACACACGTATTATAATTTAATTTTAAAACGAACCTCTTTAACTCCCACCGGGCGTCCGTATCGTATCGTCTATATCTATAAGTCGTTTGTAGGTCATCATAGAATGAACAAGGGAAGTCGACAAGTAGGAGCTTTTCGCCCTCAATCTGGCTCGCCCCGCCTACCAAAGAGAACCGAATTGAATCGTGCAAATGGGCACTACCGGGTGCCATTGGAGGATTGGCAAACCGATCGACAACCGATCGACAACCGATCGACAACCGATCGACAACCGATCGCCCGGTTTGCGGCCTGAAAACAAACATTATTTTTTTTAAACTGTGAGTCGTGCAATTGGTTTGTCCCACGAAGGTCGCTTTGCGCACTCAATCTGGTTAGCCCCACCCAAACCGAACCGAACTGAACCGATGGTGTCAATGGGCCCTTGGTTCGCCTTCGACCCCAGGAAACGTGAGTTCGATTCCTGTGTAAGAAAGCTTTAGTTAATCGAGTATCTCCCCCTTTTTGTTGGAATACGTTTAGTATCCCCCCCCACCCCACCCCCTCAGCCTGGGTTGGCTCTGAAAGGCAGGGCTGAAACAGTCCGCCCCCTAAATGATCTAAATTTGTCCATGGGGGTGTAAAACGTCTACACTTTTTTAAAAAATTAAAAAAGAGAGTGCGGTGCATTCTGTACTTGACACGTAATATACACATAAGTTCCACATTGAACTAGTATCCAAAACAATACTTTTTACCCGAAACCTATTTTGCAATTATTCTTAGAGAACTAAATCTACTTCTCAGTTTGAGAACTTTGTTGTAGATGCGTTTGTTCTCATTGAATGTCTGTTCTAAACCTGCCCAGAAATGTCTGATGTCAGCACGCCTTCCAAACGGTTGGTGACCGATTTATAAAACACACGAACACACACAAGCGAATATAATGCACTACCACATTCACACGCACGTACGCAGACAGCCAAGAGTACTCAACCGTTTGGTGCAAATGTTGGCCTCTCAGCTTTGGCAGATACTATTTACGATGTTATGACCAATGTCATAAACAAAGGAGACTTCTATATTGCCCCCCCAGTCTTTCTTCTCAACTCCTCACTCTCGTTTCGAGACAGATCGACAGATCACGGAACTGTTCTTATTTTTGTACACATAGTATCAACGGGTATAAATATATCCCAGATTCTGTTCATTCGTCAGATGTTACCTGCAGCCTGACGTCTTACTTTGCACAACCCTAGTTGGAGACGAGTTGCCAGAGACGAAAACCGGAAAAATGTCGAGGCTAATCATTGTCCTGACAGTTTCCTTCTGCTTGCTCGGGCTTGCATTGTCTCTGGACAACTTTCTAGACTGCCCTGGCAATGACAGTGAGTTATCTTTGATCTAAGTTACTTTTGGAGACCCCCCCCCCCACCATTGCCATTCTTTACCATCTCTTTGTACTTCAAAAGGTGTTAACTGCCTCTCCTATGATTTTTAAAAGGTTTTTCCCTTCTTTTTTTGTCTTTTTTTCTGGGGTCAGCCTTTGTCATCCTTTATAAACTGTGCTCGTCAAACTTTATACAACACCACACACACATTTTTATTTTTTAATCCCCTTTAAGTCTTCATCTACGTCTTTTACGGAATCTCTGTGTTCTTAGAGATGTACCAAACAATACAGAAGGTTCACTCTTACATCGCATCCAGTGAATAACGATCCGTTACTTTTAAAAAAATAAAGGAAAGCGCCTTTTCCATAAAAAAAAGATTTCGTTTGTTTTTCAGGAAATGGAAAAGAAAGCAGCAAAGTATAAGCAATGGTTGTTTCAGATAAATAAATAAATTTAACTAACTGAAATGTCGGTCATAACACGAATAATAAGTCTGATTTGTGTATATTTTCTACGGTCGTTCGGAATTTTACTTTAGTATGGACTTCAAAGTAACGATAGTTTTGGCCAGACATAGGTTTCTCTGAAAGTTTAACAGTTTATTGTTGTTGTTATTGCTGTTGTTGCTGTTGTTGTGGTTGTTGTTTTCTTCTTCTTTTTCTTCTTCTTCTTCTTCTTCTTCTTCTTCTTCTTCTTCTTCTTCTTCTTCTTTTTCTTCTTCTTCTTCTTTTTCTTCTTCTTCTTCTTCAATTGCTTTGTTTGCAGGCCCATGGGTGTGGTGTAAAGTAGTGTGCAGTTGACGCTGACAATCACCTGTGATTGTCCCGGCTTCAATTTGGAAAACTGAGTTTCTTTCTTCTTTGCCTTCCACTGTTAGATCTCAGATCTCAGGGGTAGTCGACTGCTGATTTACGTATGTAACCGTTTTCCGCACTTCATGGAGCCACCTTATACCTTCAGCCAGCCACATTCCGATTTAGAAGGTACTCTATAGGATTTTATACACTGACCAGAGTATCTTCATTTTTGGTAGGAATTAACTTTGAGTTTTGTCTGGGTAGCGGCTGAAGCATACCCTTATACATGTATTGAAAATCGGTAAAGAGCTCTAATACACCCCCCCCCCCCCCTCCCATTCGGATCTTACTCAACCTACAGCACGCACGTCCGGCGTCTCCACTCTCTGTGGGACCAACATAGTATTGGTGACACGGAGATGATCAGATGGGTGGTCACTGGGGTGTGTTCTTGAGCAAGACACGACAACCTTAGCTCAACAAACAGGACGCCACACGGTGGCGACCAGCAATGGCTTGGTTGTGTGTGAAATTGTTCTGTATTGGTGTAATATTGCGCTTTTATGTAGGCCTATGTATAAGTGTAAACATTTATGTATGTATGTATTCAGAATTATGTACTCATGTACATGTAGCCTATGCGTATGTTTGTATGTTTGCCATAGTAAACCGAATTGCCCGTATGGGATCAAAGAAATGTAATTTATTTATTTTATTATAAGGGTATTCTTGACGTCTTACCGACACCATTTTTACTGTAAAACTAAAAAAAAAGAAAATTGAAAAAAAAAAAAGAAAATTGAAAAAAAAAAAAAAAAGGGTTTTTAACTTGTTTTTAATTCCCATGGACGTTTCCAGACATTCTCGGCTGGCTACGCCGCTGTTGTCCCAGCGAAGATCTCCCCAACAGCTGTGAATGTTTCGACATCTCCAACAGCTCCCCCTTCACCAACTCCGCCTTCCACAAGCCACAGTGCCCACAGGACATCAACGTCATCTTCAGGCTCTATAACCCCTCCGCTTCCTCTGGAAATATCATCAAGGTGATGGATGGGTTTGCTGAGCTGAAGACTAAGAAATAATTGTCAGCACTTGCAAAGGATGATAATGTTATTAATCAGCACTTGCAAAGAATGATGACGATTAGAACAACAACTACAGCAACAACAACAACAACAACAACAACAACAACAACAACAACAACAACAACAACAACAACAACAACATCAACAACAACAACATCGACAACGACAACGACAACAACATCGACAACATCAAAAACACGCCCCCAACAACAACATCAACAACGAAAACGACAACAATAAGAACAACAACAACAACAACAACAATAATAATGATAATAATAATAATAATAATAATAATAATAATAATAATAATAATAAAAATAATAATAATAATGATAATAATAATAATAATAATAATAATATAAACAAATAGTAATAATAATAATAATAATAATAATAATATGATAATAATAATAATAATAATAATAATAATAATAATAATAATAATAATAATAATAATAATAAATAAATAAATAAAATAATAATAATATCAATAGTAATAATAATAATAATAATAATAATAATAATAATAATAATAATAATAATAAGAAGAAGAAGAAGAAGAAGAAGAAGAAAAATACTCTGCAACAGCAACAGCTACAACAGCAACAGCAACAGCTACAACAACAACAGGAACAACAAAAACAACAGCAACAAACATGATAATAACAATAATAATAGTAATAATAATAATGATGATGATGATGATGATGATGATGATGATGATGATGATGATGATGATAATAATAATAACAATAATGATACTACTACTACTACTACTACTACTACTACTACTACTACTACTACTACTACTACTCATTATCATGATGATAATATCATCATCATCATCTTCATCATCATAATTATCACAGCATTTTTTCATGCGCTTTACAGCTCTAACAATAACAAAAGTAATATTATGCTTTTTGTGGACTTTTTTTCTTCAACTGATACTTACTTATGAATTATAGTTCGTCTCCGATATAGCGAAGTTGTTCAGTTTCTTTACAAGACAAGGAGAGTTTTCTCTATAACCAAACAACTATATATATATACACACACAAATGAAACCAAATTTCTCCTATTGGTAGGGAAATGCCCATTTTTGGAAAAGGTAAAGATTTCTGGAAGATTTTCTGGAAACCCCCGAAATCTGGGTTACCCCGCTTGTCCGTAAAAGTAAAAGCGAGCAATAATAATAATTGAATGTTGCTCTCTGTCTCTCTCTCACCCCACAGGCCGGTGCTGCCTCAGTACGGAACAGCCCGTTCAACCCTTCCCTGCCCACTCGTGTTGTGGCTCACGGTTTCACCGACTCTGGGGAAGCTCCGTGGATGTTGGAGATGAAAGACGAGTTCCTGAAACAGGTAAGCCAATCTGTCCTTTAAAAAAAAATTTTTTAGTAGAGGTTTTACGGCGCTTTAGTTGAGATTTTACGGCGCTCGCAAATGCATAACCCCTCCTACAGGCCACTCGCCTTGCTGCAGATAGACGCCTGTGTCTCCCCGCGACACCCACTGGTACAAGCGGACGAAAAAAGTAAAAGTAAAGTAAGTAAGCAACTGCATAACGTCAAATGAGCACCGGAAGATTAGAGGTGTTACAAGAGAGTAACGAACATAAAAAATAAGGAAAAAAGAAGGAGGGGAGATAAGGACGATAGATGTTTGATAGGAAAGAAGAAGCAAACCTCACCAGAGCATCCACAAACCACCCACAGCCAGTCTGTCGCTTCTTTTTTTTTGGGGGGGGGGGGGCGGTTGTTGTTTTGGGTAAAAAATGAGATTTGTACGGCACTTGCAACCCATTTAGTTCACATAAGTGCCGAAGATTAGAGAAGAGAGTGACAAAACGAAAAAGAAGGAGAGATCAGGACGAAAGTTGCTTAATAGGAAAGAAGCGGCAAACCACGAAACGAGTTTCCAAAACACGTAAGCTACTCTACCGCCACTTTTGGGGTGTTGGTTTTAGTAAGAGTTTTACAGCACTTACAATACAGTTAAGTTATATTAGTGCTTAAGATTAGTGGTGCTACAAGAGAATGACAAATAGGAAAAAGAAGGAGTAATAGGGACGATAATTGCATTTTTGTGTTTTAGTATAACCTTTTTGCGCCAAATGCAACACAATAAGGTCATATAAGTGCCGAAGATTAGAGGTGCTACAAGAGAGTAACAAGCAGACAAACACGAAAACGAAGGAGAAATGGACGATAGTTGCTAGATAGGAAAGAAGGAGAAAACCACGAAACGAGTTCCTGAAACACGCAGATCTAAGCCACTCTGTGGCGTTTTGGGTTTTTGTGTGTTTGTTTATTTGTTGTTTTAGAAATAGTTTTACGGCACTTAATACCATAAAGTCATAGAAGTGCCGAAGATTAAAGGTGTTGCAAGAGAGTGACAAACACGAAAAAGAGAAGGAGAGATAAGGACGATAGTTGCATTTTTTAGTTTTAGTAAGAGTTTTATGGCACTTGCAACACAATTACATTATATAAGTGCCGAGGATTAGAAGTGTTACAAGAGAGTGACAAAGACGAAAAAGAATGAGAGATAAGGACGATTGTTGTTTGATAGGAAAGAAGGAGCAAACCACACCAGAGCACCCGTCAGTCACCCATGTCTCATTTGTAGCGTTGATGAAGCTAAAAAAACCCAAGAAAACAAAAGCATCCCAAAACAGCAAAATTGAAAAAAACCTAAGACTTCATCACTTCGCACTTAAATTGTAAAAAAACAACAACTGCTGTCTGTTCGTTTTGTCTTGAAAGCCAAAGACAATCACGTAAAAATCTTCGAAAGTTTATTTTTAGTTTCTTGATTCGAATCTACCTAAAGCATTCGTAGGTTTAGTTCAGTCATCAAGTAACCATCTGTGTTAAGTGTTCCCTTCCTCAACTATGCGATAATGACACTGTTAACTTATTTAACTAAAACAAACAATAAATTATTTTTATTTTGGGGGAGGGGGGGCGGGTAAAGTGTCCGGCGCGCTTAAATGACCTTATTTATGCAGTTACGAGTGCCGTAAAACACTCACCAAG